AACCATTGGCCGTGGGGGGTGTGGGAGGTGCGCTGCTCCCCGGGGTTTAAAAGTGCTGCCTGGACACGCTGTGAGCCGAGCTCTGCCGTTTTAAAACAACCCCAGCTAGCGGCCCAGCGGCCGTGTGGGTTTTCCCACGGCCTGTTGTGCCCGCTTCTGTGCGCAGTTCGCGTCTGCGCTAATTCCCTTCGGCTCCTGGAGTGCCTTTCTGTTTAAGTGTAGGTTCGGGTCGTTGTAAGTCGTGAAGACGCGAAGTTCCTGTGCCAGTTCTTTGCTTTTGCACCGTTAAACGTTCTCCACCGTAACTCAGCGCCCCGTGTTTCTGGCGTTGTTTTTTGGTGTAAGAGTTTTATGTGTACGCCTCAGACATACCACGGTGCTCTGAGCTGGAGGGCAGAAGGTGTAACCACTTACACCAGCCGGTGCTGACCACTCGGAGCACTTCGCCGAGCAGGTCTAGGGAGCTTGGTTTGCTTTGGAAAAGGTCCTTAGGCCTTTGAGAAGCTAGTGGGAGGGTGTCAGGTGTTTTGGGAGAGGTTATTAATGGAGGGGAAATCTTTGCAAGAGCCTCTTTGGTCTGCAGCTATGGAAAATCATGAGGTGAAATTGTTCGGAATCCCGAACGGTGCTGAAAGGGCACATTGATGGAGGCTGCACTGAGTTTTAGCTAAAACCTGTGAGTTTCAGGGAGAACAGTAATGAGTTGCTAACCTCCTTGCAGGGGCAAAAAAGTCTGATGCTTCGTTATGTATCTTGTATTGCTTGAATTTCCTGGTTTTACTTGGTTGTGCTTTACAAGCTGACAAAGAGTATACTTGTAAGTTCTCATAAAATTAGTCCTTGAAGAGTGATGTAAGGTTTGGGAAAGTGTTGCCTTTCTGAAGCCTTTCGCACATATGCATAGGAGTTATTGCTCTTCTGTAAGTACAGAACTTGCTCTTTACTGCTGACCCACTCAGAGCTCCCCTAATGCCCCTTACAAATTGTCCATGAGGAAACATCAAAATTTACCCTTCTTTGCATAAATTAGTAAAGCTGTCTTTGTTTTTGCCTTAGGAGGAGGAGCAGGATGGACGTTCTACGGCCCACCCTGATAAGGATCGAGGGGCGAGTATACAGGAAAAATCTCATTCAAGAGCAGGCCTATCAGCACGAGGAGGAGGAGGATTTCTGTGCAGGTAAAGAGCGCTGCACGAGAGGTGACCATGGTGCTGTCAGGACATGCTACAGGTGAAAGCATTGACACTGAGGACCTAGGGGACTCTTGGTGTTCTTACTGATGTCTTTATGGGCTCAAGAACCTGCCCATGCGGTGGAGTGAGGCGTTCAAGAGGGAGAAAAATGCTTTGCATTGGTCTCTCATTGTCCTGGTGGCCAAAGAGTAGATGTGATCCTGGTTACCTATCCTGGGTCTGGGTGACTGTGCTGCCAGCTGTTCGCTTATGTTTGCTGGCTGTGAAAGATCTCCCATAAAGAGGGAAAAAAAGTGAGTTCCATAGATCTGTTTTCCCCAGGTCCCCGAAGCGCCTTTCTTTTTGGTATGGTGGTTATTTGCAGATATGGCAGGAGTGGAAGCTGCTCGCTAAAGATCCTGCGATCTTTGCGCCTTAAAAAAGTGGTCTTTTACAACGTGGCTTTTGGAAGGTGTTACCTATGTTGGGGGCAAAATTTTTCTTGTTCTGATGTATTTTACTTTATCTTTCTGCCTGTGTGTTTGTTATAGTTCTATGCGAGTTGTTGTGGGCACGGAAAAGCTCAGCTGTTATTTCTCAAATGAAAAGGGTTGTGGCTGTTGTATCCTGTTTCTCCCTCCATGCTGCCTTTCAGTGGATTAACCAAAGCTTTAATAAGCTGCTTGCCACCCAGGTTCGTTCCTGTATGTGTTAGAGAGCAGATAGAAACCGTATCCTCTTTCTGGAAGTCATGTTTGGCCCTAACAGGCATGACCGCATGGCCCACAGATGAACGGTGCATCTATTCCTCCATGCTGAGGGTGTGAGAATTTCGCTGTTTTCCAAAACACTGTACCTGAACCCTTGAACCAAAACTATCCTCACTTGTTATTTGTATTCTTCTGCGACTTTAAATTCCTGCTCAGATCTCTGAATGAGCTGCTGGCTTCTACCCTGCCAGGAGAAGAGACCATTCCCGCTGGTTAGTCACACAACTTCCAGCTGAGAGAAAACTTGGACTGTAACTACTGCTTTCCTACGCCTCCCAGCCTGGCAGATTTAGAAGCAGTCATTATGTTTTCCAGACCTGGTAGTAAGAAATAAAAAGCAGTTAGCCACAATGGAGGGGAGTCCATTTCTTCCTTTATTTAACCTTGGGAGAAGGCAGCTGTCAGACTATTGTCCTACATAAAGCACTGCCAAACTTTATGGAGGTTGTACAAGGTCTGTTGGGGTTTTTTGGGGTTTTTGTTTTGGTTTGTTTTTGTGTTTGGTGGTGGTTGTTTTTTTTCTCCATGGTAGGCCCTGGTGACTGCACAGACGAACCCTGTGATGCCTTTGTGGTGGAAGAGACCGAGAAAGGCTTCCAGTGCAGAGTGGAGGTTCCCTGCCCGTTATACAAGTGAGCCTGTGTGTTTCTGGTTTATTTCAGTTGCCGCTGGCTGAGGAAGTGGTTGAGCGCAGAATATTTGTTTTAAGGTTGGAGTAAGCGCTGGATCTCTGAAATGTATTCTGTTTTGTGGATGTGGATTTTAGCATTTGGGAAGGGAAAATTGGGAGTGCCTTTTTAGTGCAGTTGTGCCACGCTTGCCTCCTAACCTTCCCTGTGACAGAGACAGCAGGTGGTGCTTTCTTGCTAGCAGGAGAGTTTTTGAGCATCTCTTCCCTTGAACATAAAAGCATCAGGGAGGGTGGGAGAAGAGGGGGAAGAACCGGGGTGAGCAGCTTGGCAGGGCAAGTTTGTGAAAGCTTTGAGAGAAAGCACACACGACTGGAATTGACTGTTGACTCCAATCTGATGTTTACTGGGAAGCCTGTAGTGTTCAAAGCTTTATCTAGTTATTTTTGACAGTTTTGTTGGTTGAATAGGTTTACTGAAATGTAGAGAAGGAAGAATGTTCTCTTGTGTGTTTGGATGCTGGCAAATGACTACCTTGAGCAAAGCAAA